GTATTTAAAAACAGCACTATGCAGCATACTCCTCTTACAACCTGTAAAACAACCAAAAAACAGAATTATTCACCATCATTCTGCGTTAAAATACTCAACAGTATATACAAAATAGATCTTAACATATAACTACTTGACACCAGAAATATCTCGCTATCGGTAACAGTTTAACGAGCTAACATCAGATAAGTAGCTAGAAAAATACATGTACAGCCTATGATAAAAACAAGTTAGCTTAGCATGCTAGGTGGCTAACAGGATTAAAGCTAGCCGGTGAATGACATGGAGCGGTTAACAGACAGCGGTAGAGTTTGTGCCTTACCTGGTAGGTTCAGAGCAAAGAGTCACCTCGTTAATATATGTCGTATGCATAGGCTGCACAAACATTCAGAGTACAAAGGACAGACTGGAGCTGTGTTTGATTCACAATTCATTAATCACATGACACACTCACACGTGACTGTGCAGTTTTGTGTTAAAGGGATATTACACTGCACTTTACACCACCTTTAAATCCCCTGGAATACGTGGTTTTCTTTGTTTGTTTGCACATATACAAGTATAAAAAAAAGTTGTAATTTAAGAAGAAGTTTGAACATCATACAGGTGAGGTTAAAAAAAAAAAGTTGAAGTACCAGAGTGTAGGAATACTCTGTTATAGTAAAAGTCCTGCATTCAAAATGTTACTCTAGTAAAAGTAAAAAAGTATTAGCATCAAAATATACTTAAAGTACCAAACGTAAAAGTACTAATTTGGCAGATCCATTTCAGAATAATATATATAATATGTTTTGATTATAATCATTGATCATTAAAGTGTTCTCAAAGTTAGTAAAGGTGCAGCTAGTTTGAATGACTTTGTATAATGCAGGGTAGCTTGTGAATTTACTCCAAGTGGAACTAAAGTCTGATTTAACACTTGTTTATATTACACATAATTAATCCAAATCTGCAAAGTAACTATATGTATGAAAAGCATTTAATGGAGTAAAAGTACACAATTTACCTCTTAATTGTAGTGGAAGTACAAAGCAGCATATAAATAGTATCTCAAAATTGTACTTAAGTACATTCATTGAATAAATGTACTTAGATACTTCCCACCTCTGCTAAGCAGTTATACATAAAATGCAAGACATATATAATCAACACAACATGTTTTGTTTGTAAATTGAGCTTTGGTCTGTTGTTTAATAATCTATGATATAGCTCTTTTCCAAAGAGAAGGACCTCTGCATGTCAATGAATAGCCTGATCATAAAGGGGAAATACCGGATATGGGAAGAAAAAGACTTGTGCATCTTGTCTCTCTTTTTTAATGTATAACTTTATGAGCATCACATGTAAAGGTAATGGTATAAAGTAACCATTTACTCAATCACTGTACATAAGCACCGTATTAAGGGTAATACATACTTTTTTTATCTTAATAACTTTTTTCCAGATTCAAATAAATCAAGATGTTATTCTGTCAAACTTGGCTCATCCCCAGGGTCAATTCACAAGCAATCCAGAGTTGATGTAACAAATGTAATACTGCTTGCTTAGTCATTTTGTGTTTAATGGCTCCTAGTTTCAATTTGAATTTATATTAATTTGAATTTATATTAATTTGAATTTTCTATTGATTTCAATAAATCAATTGTGTTATGATTTTTTATAAAGCACTGTTAATTGCCTTGTTGAGATTTACTTTAGCCATACTCCCATTCAATATTCTAATTAATATCTCTCAGCCTTTGACCTGTTGTTGATTAAAATGTTTGTTTAGTATTTACTTTGTCCTTATTTGTCTATCCTTACATAGATTTTTTGTTTCGTGCTTTCCTTATGTTTCAACACAAAACTTAAGTATTTCTAAAATAAAATCACACACGCTGACTGACCGTGGGAACACATTTATTGTTTATGTTGTCTCATGTACAGAAATAACCAATTTACAGTTTACAAACAACTGACCAGGTTTATGAAGCATGTGATTCACTGCACAAGATGGAGGCCTACAGTCCAATCCTCCTCACCCTCATGTGTATGTGTACTATCAAAAACCCAACTAAATGATTCAATACAGGTTTAATGTGGATTCAGCCAAAAACACAAGGTCACAAAAAACCACTGACAAATCATAATCCGTCATAAAAAAAGAAAAGAAAGGGAAGCCACAATTGCACAACCCATAATAAAAAATCCACAGCTGGTCCCCAAAAAAGCATTTACAGCAGTGGACACGTCAATTCAGTAGGAATCATTTCATGGCTTCATGGTTATTCTTCAGACTTTGAATTACATCACATTTTCAGTTTGGCTACTGACACAGGCTTATGAACAGCAAGCAAATGTGGGGACCAACAAGTCAGCGTGACCTTTATACAGCCTTTACTTCATAATCAAACTCTAAAACAAAACAAAAAACATCTTCAAGTTTTCTAAACTGGTGAGCTTTTATGTGCTAGATTATATAATTAAGTTCACAGTTGTTGATGCTTCGTAGGCAGTGGTGATGCTAGAATTAGCGGGCGCGTGTTGTCAGTATGTTGTAAACATTTACGACCGGAAGTGAATTTTTGTTAGAACTGGATCGAGGGAAAAGTCAGTGTTTCTTCATATAACAGAGTTCATTTTTGGCAACATGATTCAATGCATCAGTGCATCATATTTCTGTGCCAAACATCCTGGATGGATATCCGAAAAAAGGTTTAATTAAAAACACCCTATTCTACAAGTTACATGCACATCGTATACACATAAAATCTCATATAGTTCATCATACCATTTACAAGTTTGGTGAAAAAGAGGATAGATACAAGAAATCAAGATATTAAAAGGACGTAGTAGCCGCAAGAAAAGTTGTTATTTTTGGCCGGCGTGCTCCCCAGAGTGACGCGTGTTGTTGTTACCACAATGCAGTGTGCTTATTAGTGCCAGGTGATGACTGCCAACTGCATTTTTAAACAGGACCTGCATGCCTATCACTCGATTCTATGTGAAAGAAGGCACTTACAGGAGAGAAGTGGTACAGGCCCTGTCCGAAAACTACCCCAGTAGATCTTAGTAGAATATTAAATAGGTAAGACTTCAAGTAAAGTGGTGTTAATGCTGTTTAGAACACACGATTCTTGGCAAATAGGGGTCTACGCAGGAGCCCGAGGAACACTGGGGGGCTTTTGGTGCCTTCTGTTTATTTCATACACTCATATGCATGCAACCTTTCTGAGCCAAATGCTCTTTAAAATGTCTGGGAATCTATTTACACAGCAGAAACCGCTAAGAAGTCTCTGTTGATCTAAGAGAAGAAAGGCAGAAAGTCCAAATGTTGGCAATAAATCAACGAGAGGGGGTGACATGAAGACTCAAACATGATGCTCAACATTTCAAATCATTATTATCTGAAGAAGTCATTTGTAGATATGAACACAACACAGGAGGAAGAGGAAATCTTCCCTGAAGGAGCAAAATGCAAGTCGCACTTTGGTCTTTCTTTAGAGATAATATTATCCACACGGAGGGACTTAAGAAAAATGTCAGTACAACTCATTGACTGCCTACATATTCAAAAATGAAGACGATGTTTCTTTTAAAGAAAAGTTATTGTAGTTACAGTTTAGGGCAGGGGGAAGTTAGGGACACACAGCACAAATCCTCCACCTCCAATATGAGCCTTTGTGTAGTAAAGGTAATCTAATTTACCCATCAATACCATAAAAATGTCATCCACTTCCTAATACTTTCAGTCAATCATTCATCCAATAATTAGTAAGTGCTTCTTTCTTATATTTTGCTCTACAAAATGGCTATTTCCACAATCAGTATATGCAATGGCTCAGACGACGGTTCAGTAATGTGATAGGTGACATATTTCACAATAAACTGGATACGTTTCAGTATACGATTGATCATCTCAGTTGAAACCAGTGAGATGAACTGACAGTGAGACTACGAGAGCAATTGAAAAGTGCAAAAGCACTCACCAGAAATACAAACAACAACCTTTAAAGCAGGGGTGGGGAACCTTTTTCCTCTCAAGTGCCATTTACATTTTTTCAACATCCTCCGAGGGCCGTACAAATGATTGACCTCTGTTTAAAAATACTAAAATCACAGCCCATTAATTTCACCTTTCTTTCATGCTGTGCAAAGAAACAGCATCCTCTTAATCCAGATATCTTACCATGTCTCGCGCATGCATTCACGTGCACGGTTGTGGCATGACCACCAAAACAGAGAGATATGGACACAAGATGTGTGCACATTTATTTAGTATCTTCTCCATGTGGACATGATTTAAGTGGGGGGGGGGGGGCC